CCACGACTACCTCAAGGAATGCGAAATTGTTTCGCAATTGACGCCTCCTAGGACACCACAGTTGAATGGTGTGGCTGAGAGGCGTAATCGAACCTTGCTAGACATGGTTCGTTCCATGATGAGTCGTGCTTCGCTACCTATCTCATTCTGGGGGTATGCCTTAGAGACTGCCGCCCATATCCTTAACTTAGTTCCTACGAAGAAGGTTGCCAAAACACCTCACGAAATGTAGACAGGGAAAGCTACCTCATTAGCACATATCAAGGTTTGGGGTTGCGAGGCTTTCGTAAGACGAGAGACTCACGACAAGCTCGAACCTCGTAGTGAGCGATGTATTTTCATCGGATATCCGCAAAAGTCCTTTGGATATATCTTCTATAGACCGAGTGACAACGTTGTCTTCGTTACGAGGAGAGGGGTTTTCTGAGAACGAGAACTCATAAGCCAAGGAGACAGTGGGAGGCAAATCGATCTTGAAGAGATTCAAGAGTCAAGCGATGAAGGAACCTCTAACGCTGGCGCTCAACCCGAGGAGGAAACTCCGGGTGAACCGATTGACGAATCCTTACCTCTTAGACGTTCCGATAGAGTTAGGGTTCAACCCCAGTTTTATGGTTTTCATATTACTACCGAAGGGGATACGTTCATTAGTGATAGTACATTAGTGAATCTGGACGAACCTAACAGCTATAAGGAAGCCATGGTAGGCCCGAAGTCTGCGAAGTGGAAAGAGGCAATGGACAGTGAGATTCAGTCCATGTATGACAACCAAGTTTGGAATTTGGTTGACCATGTACCAGGTCGTAAGACGGTCGGGTGCAAGTGAATCTTCAAGAAGAAGACTGACATGGATGGGAATGTGCACACATATAAGGCACGATTGGTCGCGAAGGGTTTCACTCAAACTCCTGGAGTTGACTATGATGAAACCTTCTCACCGGTTGCCAAGATAAAGTCTATTAGGGTGATGCTGGCCATTGCTGCATTTCATGACTATGAAATATGGCAAATGGATGTCAAAATCACTTTCCTTAATGGGAAGTTGGCTGAGGATGTTTACATGGCTCAGCCAGAAGGTTAGTCAATGCGAAGCATCCCAATAGAGTGTGTAAGCTTGAGAAGTCCATTTATGGACTTAAACAAGCATCTCGCAGATGGAATCTTTGTTTCAATGAGAAAGTTAAGGAGTTCGGCTTTCTGCGAAGCGAAGATGAATCATGTGTATATGTCAAAGCCAGTGGGAGTATAGTAAGCTTCCTCGTATTGTATGTCGACGACATACTACTCATAGGAAACGACATCCCGACACTGTAGGAAGTTAAGTCCTGGCTCGGTAAGTGCTTCGCTATGAAGGACCTCGGAGAGGCTTCCTATATTTTGGGAATAAGGATAGTGAGAGACAGAAGTAAGAGACTAATAGGACTTAGTCAGAATACTTACTTGGACAAGGTACTAAAACGTTTTAGTATGGAGAATTCAAAGAAGGGAGAGTTACCGATCCAAAGTAATGCCAAGTTGAGTAAGACTTAAAGTCCGAGCACTGAAGTCGAGATAACAGAGATGAGCCGAGTACCTTACGCTTCCGCAGTTGGCTCAATCATGTATGCTATGACTTGTACTCGCCCTGATGTGGCCTTTGCTTTGAGCATGGTCAGCAGATATCAAGGAAACCCTGGCAAAGCGCATTGGACCACAGTCAAGAATATTCTTAAGTACCTTCGGAGGACCAAGGAATGGTTTCTAGTCCTCGGTGGGAGTGATGACTTAAAAGTGAGAGGGTACAGTGACGCCAGTTTTCAGACTGACAGGGACAACTACCATTCGCAGTCGGGCTGGGTCTTTACCCTTAATGGAGGAGCAGTGACTTGGAAAAGTTCCAAGCAAGAGATCGTGGCTGATTCAACGTGCGAATCAGAGTACATTGCAGCAAGTGAAGCGTCAAAGGAGGCAATATGGTTGAAGAACTTCATTGGAGACCTTGGAGTTGTGCCAGCCATAAAGGAGCCCATGGAAATATTCTGTGATAATGAAGGAGCAGTTGCCTTGACCAAGGAACCGAGGGATCATGGTAGATCTTGACATATCGACAGAAAATATCACTTTATTCGACATATGGTGGAAGAAGGACTCCTCGTAGTTAAGAGGGTATCGTCATAAGATAACCCAACAGATCCGCTTACAAAGGGACTGAGTCGGGTTAAGCACTTGCAGCACGCTAGGAGCATCGGGCTGAAGGACGATATTAGTTTGAATTAGATAGTTTAGAAACGTGTAATAGATAAAGTGTAATTAACATTTGATGATTAAATAAAAGAGTATTATTTATTAGTAATGTTACTGTCTTATGTTAATTGTTTGCCTATTGTTTCAATTTGCATGTTTTGACTTCCTAAATAATAAGAATTATTCGAATCGTCCACAGTCGTTCATATGTTGGAAGTAGGTATGAATGAAGACTGTTATGAATTGGTGTGTAGATTGTCTAAAATGTATTAGACATAGCAAAAGTTTGCTACAACGTTCATGAGTGCTTATGAGTTTGATTTGAGCATTGGAATAAACTCACGCTTGCTGGAATCACTTCATGGAATTTATCACGAGTGATCGCAAAACGATAATATCATATGGTCTTAAAACCTAGATATATGGTTTATTGTTTGCTAATTGGTTATGCATTGATAATGCGTAAACGCATCAGTAACTTGATGTTATAAAACGCATTGTTGTGTATGATTTGATTAATGAATAGTAAATGCATATAAGTCGAAGTTTATCTGTTCCTTTTATCCTAAGAGGGTAAAAGCGATATCAGGGCCCCTCGATGATTTGATTTGACATATGTGCCTGGCCCGGTCAGGACTGAATTGATGTGTTCAATTAAGTTCTATGTCAAACGAATCAGAGATCGAGAAACAAACTGCTGGACAATAAGTATGACTATGTTCCATGTAATTGTCAGCACGATATCTAGATCAGAGGACTATGCGATCCCTTATCTAAAGGACAAGTTACTGATAAGATAAGAGTTCGACATCGTCTTTAAGAGCTACGATTGCTAATCGAATTGTGCTTGCGTTTATAGTTACTAGACTTATCCAAGTGGGAGACTGTTGGATTAGTGTCTAAGCCCGTAACTATATTTGGTAAGTACTTGACCCGGTTGTGCATGGTCCTTTTGGGTTGCCTTCACCAAAGCAACATGATAGGATGATTTATAAATAAAGAGGTTATTATGGTCTATTAATATATTATATGATTAATATATTAAAGGAGAAATCATATAGTTTAATTAATATTAGATAAGAATTAATTAAGAATTAATTTTGTGGCTAAAAGAGATTAATTAAATAAAGGGGACTGGAAGTGTCAATTGTGTGATAGTTGATTTTGGGCTGTGGATCCTTATGGATGATAGGGTGGACGAAATTAAGGTGTATGGACTCCTTGAATTCGTCCAAGCCTTATTCTAGAAGGATCCTTGGACTGCTTGAGGCCTAAGTTATCCAATTAGGGTTTCAGGCTATAACCCTAGCAGCTTAAGTATTTAAAGACCCATAGGGCTATAGAAATCGGCTACTAGAAACCCTAAGGAGTTCTTAGAGCCGATTTTGTGCCCACAACCTCTCTCCAAATCATCCTCTTGCTTCTTGGTGTTTGTAAGCCATTAGAGGAGTGACATTTGTGACTCTAAGCTCCAAGCATAACAAGATTCAAGCTTTCAAGAAGAGGTAATCATCTAGATCTGTTTTATTATATCAATTTTGAATTGTTTACACTAATTCTAGGGTTTGCAAGTCTTGGATGAAAGCATGTTCATTAGAGAAACCTAGATCCAAGCATTAGGGTTTGCATGAGCACATAGGATGTTCTTATTGCCAAAACCCATCAAATTAAAATTCTAATTTTTTGTCATTATGTTTGAAAAATTAGAAATTACCAATTAACTTTGTTAAATTAGAGGGTTAATACTTAATAAATTTATTTTTTTCTTATTGTATATTACCAAAATAAATAAATAAATTCTGGTACCCCTTTACTTTCAGCCGGCTCCATCATTATGTTGCGCGCTGCCTTCTCTGTTAGCCTGGAAACCGGAGTTCCTCACAAACGCTTACAAACATCTTCTTCGCTAAAAATCGCACTTCGTCAGACCACCCAACAATTTATCCGACTAACTCAGGTCTGTCTCTCTGCTTTCTCAAAGTTTGTCTTTGCGATTTTAGATTCAGAGATGGGGTTTTCTACGTTTTAGGTTTGCGATTGGGTTTATTTGGTAATTTATACATTAAATGGAAGTATTGATACCATAACAATGTGCGGTTTTAGGTTTTGCCATATCTGATTTAGGGTTTCTTTTTTATGAGAAACAGAAATTGTAATTGTAATGAAATCAAATGATCACAGAGGAATGATATGGATTAAAATAGAAACACAATCAAATAATTTAGGGAATACTCCCTCTCTCTAAGCTTAATTCAACTTCCCTTTGAGATTCTTTTTCCATAGAGCGAATTATATAGCTTTGGAAAATAAACTATCATGTCAGGTTGTGGTTCTCTGGAATAAGAAAAACAAAAAATAAAATAAATAGTAAACACCAATATATATATATATATATATATATATATATATATATATATATATATATATAATTTGATATTTGTTACATATTATGAATGTTGTTCATTTTATAACTTATTGATAGTAAGTTATTGTAATATAATTATGTAAATGTACGTGACATATGTTCTGCTTTTTACATGTTAAAGCTAAAGTTACGATGGCATCAAAATCAAAATCAAAAAAACAAAAACGAAAAAAACAAGAAGAAGAGAGCAAATGGTGGGATCTCCCATATGATGTAATGGTTAATATTATACAGAGAGTTGGTGCTTTTGACATACTTGTGAATGCCCAGATAGTCTGCAAAAGTTGGAGTAAAATCTGCAAGGACCCTGTCATATGGAGGGTTATACATCTTGATTATCCATATTATTTCTATGATCAATTCGTTAGAGAAAAAATGGAAGATGTGTAAGCATGCGGTGGATAGAAGGCACGGCCAGTTAGTTGATATCACCATTGTGGAGTATGACGATGCTGATCTTCTTCAGTATGTTGCTGATAAGTATTTACTTTATTGGATAAAAATCTCCTATCTTGGTTTATTAATTAATATTAAAACCTAACAGTTTTGGTTTTTTTGTTACTTTAACAAACAAATCAAGTCAGCTAAAAAGACTTGAAGTATCATTCTGCTACGAGGATCCATATGAAAGATGGGTTGATGCTTTGAAGAAGTTACCATTATTAGAGGAGCTCAGTCTCTATTCAACGGATTTCCCAATAGAAGCAGTTGAAATTGCTACGCATTATTGCCCCATGCTAAGAACACTAAAACTGAACGTGAACTCAATAAAATTCGAAGAAGAAGAAGAGGAGTTCCACAAGATTTATAATGAGAGAGCAATATCTATTGGACAAAACTTACCTCACCTAAGGAGCCTTGAACTGATTGGAAACAAGATCATAAATGTTGGGTTGCAGGCAATTCTTGACAAATGCCGTCTCCTTGAATCGCTTGACTTACGTTCGTGTTTTTTCCTTCATCTTGAGGAGGAAGATCCAAATCTAATTGGAAAAAAATATTTGGACAAGATGAAATGTGTAAAAGTAAAAATGCCCAAAGATTCTCTTCAAGGATGCATGTATAGGATGGATTTTACCGACTACAATGACATTATCCATAGATTTAACTCTGAACCAAACATGGAGAACTTGAAGAAGTTTCTGCTTTAGTATGTACAGTCAGGTCAACAAGACAACATATATGATCAAAGATAGATAGTGTGTAGACTGTAGACTCGATTTCGTCTTCCGAAGAGTAATTTTTTTGTTTTTTATTATTATTATTGTGCAGCTACAAAAATTATTATGCAACTACGATTAGGTCCAACAGCACAAACTTATAAAAAATAAGCCCAAAATTTATAAAAGTTTAACCCAATTTAATTTATTTCAATAACCCATAAAGATAAAAAGCTCAAACCATCAAGTCATTAACCAATTAGCCAAATGTCCATACTCCACAGCCCATTGAGGCATTGGCCCATCATTTGTTTGTGTAATTGTGTATATACGCCAGAAGCAAAAATAAAATAAAAATTACAGTTTAGACCTTCCGCGCGATGCTGCGGAAACCTACTATGTTGAAAAATCCGTTTGCAATTAATAAAAACAAACACTATAAAAAAATTCATGTAAGCGCCAAAACGTTCCATGTAACTCCTTTGTAATTAGTATATATAATGTGATTTACAAATGATCAACAGTCTACAAACTTAAGTTGATGTTCCATGTAACTCCTTTGTAATTAGTATATATAATGTGATTTACAAATGGTCAACAGTCTACAAACGTAAGTTGATGTTCCATGTAACTCCTTTGTAATTAGTATATATAATGTGATTTACAAATGGTTAACAGTCTACATAAAGCACGACGATGATTAGACCATATTAAATGGACTACAAAAATATCAAAATAAAGTTTCAATATAAACAATTATGTATGGAGAACGTAGAAAAAAATGAAGCTTGAAAGTATATCTTAAAAAAATTAATAAAAAAAATTATAAAAAGAAATTATGTAAGGAATGAAAATGTAACTTTAATTTGTGAGGTAACTCCAATGCGATTCATATATAAAATGTGATGTAAAAATGTCCACAATCCACATATATTACGGTACGAATATATCATATCAAGTGGACCACAAAAATATTAAAATAAAGTTTTTGATCAAAAATTATATATATAGAGGCATATGAAAATAACACTTGGAAAACGAAAACTATAAAAATGAAATTTTATAAGAGATCGAAAAGGTAACTTTAAAATATAATAAGGGACCAAAATCATAACTTATAAAATACTAATAATTTAATTTTAAAATAATAAAGGATAAAAACTGTTAAATTAAAAATACTTGAAGGTAAAAAAACTATATATATGAAAATTTTCTATGATTAGAGAGAAAAACTCTATTTCCATTTATACGCCTCTTTTACTCTTATACGATATGATAACAAAATAGTAAATTCATTTGTATTTAGTCAATCAATGTTTGGAAATAGTAAATGAAATGAACAGTAAAAAGTTGTCACAAACTCAATTTGGTGTATATATATATATATATATATATATATATATATATATATATATATATATATATATATATATTATATATATATATATAGAGATAGAGAGGAGAGAGAGAGAAGAGACGAGAGAGAGAGAGAGAGAGAGAGAGAGAGAGAGAGAGAGAGAGAGGAAGGTTCAATTGAGAAAAAAAGGTTGAGAATGAGGGAATCATTCTCAGCCAATCATTTAATCTAAGCATAAAAAGACACGGTGACAAACTTATAAATATGATAACAACCTTCAATCTCAACTACGTAACTGTAGAGAATTATATTACAGTTCAAACCCATTCATCGTTCATCATCCAAATTTCTTATCCAACCTTCAACAATCATCCAGATTTCTTCAATTAAACCATCATCAACGTCATCTAATGTTAATCAATCATCGATCTTCGTCAATAACACGTTTATCAACACCATTCAACAGTTGACAACAAAAATTTGTTTTTATTTCTTTTAATCCAACCTTCAATTTTGCTTGAATACGACCAGATCTTCAACATCTAAGATTAATTATACTCCCAGTGTCATTAGATCAACATCATCGATAATCAACAAAAAATCCACTTCATATCATTCATTCAACACCGATCATCAAATAAAACTTCAAAATTAAGGTTAGAAAAAGATCAAATCGTTGTTTTTTTTGAAAAATTTCATATAATTCTCTATCAATATACTATTTTGTAAGATTTAAATAGTCAAAGTATCATGTTTTTAACATTTTTAAAAAAGTTAACGTGTATGCACTCCAACTGTTTGATGAAATGCATAAACTAAATTACCACGTTATATTCACATATGAATATGTTTTCTCACCTGAATCAGTATATGATTATTAAAACACAAAACAAATATGCAAGTCTGTATGTTATTCATATGTGAATAACATATAAAAATTATATATATTTGTGAAAACACCTTGTAATATTCATATGTGAATATATTGTGTAATATTCATAAATGAATATATCATCTAATATTCACAAGTGAATATACTATGTAATATTCACATGTGAAATATACCATGTAATACTATGTAATATTCACATATGAAAATATCATCTAATATTCATAAGTGAATATACCATCGAATATTCACAAGTGAACATACTATATAATATTTACAAGTGAATGCATCGTCTAATATTTAAATATGAATATATTATGTTTATTATATGCTATATTCATATATTAATGATACTTAAATTGTAAAAAAAAAATTAATCATATTTTTTATTCATAAGTGAATAACGAATGTACTGTAGTAAAAACCTGATGCGTTATTCATATATTAATGATACATTATATATTAATGATACGTAAGTAAATATGAATATATTATGTTTATTATATGCTATATTCATATATTAATGATACATTATGTTTCCCCCATTCTCAACCTTTTTTATTTTCTCAATTAAACTTACATTTATATAGATATATATATATATATATATATATAGATATATAATATATATATATATATATATAATATTGTTTATTGAAAGAGCAAAAAAAAGAAAGAAACAAAAACAACTTTCACAGGAAGGATTTTTTTTTCGCACATTCATCAACCGTCTCATTTCCAATTTCGACCTTCTTCCAAGTCTCCAATCTGATATTGAGTTTCCTCCAAATCTCCGATCCGATTTTGAGAGATTTAAAAAAAAATCAAACCCTATAATAAAACAATAAAACAAGTACGTTTTTATCTTTTATTAGATTTATAATTTATGAAGTTAATTGTTTCTTTGTTGACTTATTAATTGTTTTGGTGAACTTATTAGTTGTTTTAGTAATTTACTAATTGTTTTGCTTGAAATTATTAGTTGTTTTGCTTACTTGTTGAAAATTTGACATGTTAGGGTAATTTTTTTTTCAAAAAGACCAAGCTCCAGTGAATCAAATGTTCAATGGTCATCCAAAAAGCAATGCTTCAATTCCAATCAATCATTCCCTTAGATTTCTTATGCTCCAAATTGACAAATACCACAATCACAAACTCCAGAACATACAAGTATTGATTTGAATGATCTTCCAAAAGACCCTTGCGGATAGACCATGTATTACATCTTAGAATCCAAATCAAAGAGATGAAATAAGGACATATTTGCTTCAAGGACCTTGTCAACCAAGGGGTCATACATTTCCAACAAAGAAAATAGGTAACAAAGAAAGACGTTTTGTTATTAATTGGTTTGATGAGTTTGATTGGTTTAAGTATAGCATAAAAGAGGAAAAAAAAGCATATTGTTTATTTTGCTATGTGTGTAGAGACACTATAGGAAAACAAAGAGGAATAAATGCATTTGTTACACAAGGTTTTGATACATGAAATAAAAAAAAAACATTGGAGATTCATGAGGGTAATGTTGATAGTTTTCATCAAAGATCGACACAAAAGTGTGAATTTCTAATGAAAGAAAAGCAATTTATTAGCGTAACCTTCAAGAAGCCAACCAAAGTTGAGGATAGTAACTACAAAATCCGGTTAGGTGCTTCAATTTGGTGTTATAAATTTTTATTGAAAAATGGTTTACTGTTTAGTGGTCATGATGAGTCGAGTGACTCTCTTATTAGAGGATTTTTCATTGAGTTATTATCCTTCATGCGAGATCATAATGAAGGCATTCGCAATGTTACTTTAGAAAATGTTCCTCAAAATAATCAAGTACTAGCCCAAAGACTTAAAAAGAAATTGTTGAATGTTTTTCAAAAAAGATAATTTTGAGTGTTTGTAAAGAAATTGGTAATGATGTGTTTGCTTTATTGGTTGACGGATGTAGTGATGTATCAAAAAATATAAACAAATGACCAGAGTTTTGATATATGTTGATAGCCTTGGAATTGTGAAGGAAAGATTCATTGTAATTGTACACGTGAAAGATACATCCTCTTTGACTCTTAAAACGACAATAGATGAAGTTAAGTGTTGGTGATTTTAGTGTCACCATGTCATTTTAAGTAACTGGAACTAACATGTGAGCTAAGGGGCTTCATAATTTGTACTCTAATATATGTACGGGGTTGTGCGGAGTGCACACATGTATAAGATCGAATTAGAAGCTGGTTCGACGACTCGTCGGGGGTCCGGGGGCAGCTCCCCTGGGTCCGGGGTTTCAAAAGGGGCATCGCCCCTTTGGCGGGGTCAAGGGACAGCACCCCTAGCGGGGTCCAAGGGGCAGAGCCCCTGGCTGGGGTCCTGCTGACCTGGGAACATAGTGGAAAGTTCAATTTCTTGAGGGTGATTATGGTAAAACTAACGAAACTCGTTAGTTTTGGTAACCCTAAATCCTCATTAAATCCGGATTATCCTGACTTGCTTCCAAAGCAACTAATGACGGCCCAACCCTAATAAAACCCTAATCTCGTTTAATATATAAACGACTCTTCTTTCTCAGAAGAGGGTTACGGTAATTAGCTCTCGTTTTCATCAAACTCTCACAGAATCTCTCTAGCAAATGTCCGCTTGGATTATCCTAGGCTGAATTTCTTGCAACCCAGACATATGGTAGAAATATCAGTTCGGAAAGTGTTCTCACGATCCAAGTTGGTATCCAGATCTCCACCACAAACCCTATATTTTCCTACA